AGCTTATCATATCTAAAGCAGACAGTATAGCAAGTAGCATATATGAAGTAGAACCTATCATGTGTAGGACAAAGACTAGAACAAGGAACTGCGGCGGAACCTTTGACAGGAAAGACAAAAACACGTACGGTACAGCAGCAGCAGAAGCGCTGGACTTGGGGTCGGTGTCCTCGTCTGCCATGTCGTCAAGGAGGTCGTGGACATCGGGGAAGTAGTCGTCGGCGACCGGATCGTCCGTGATGAAGCAGCCAGTAGCCGCGCTGAGCGCTCCCCAAAAACCTTATCACACTTTTCCCGTACAGGACTCAAAAGATGCGGTTTCGGAGGACTACTATCCCGGTCTGCGGTGCACGCTGCAAGACGGGATGGGGAAGAACGTAGCATCAACGCAGTGGTCGAAACTTTGTGGCAAGAGGAAGAGGAGATTTTGTTGTGTCTCTCTGGAGAGGAGCGACATCTCTTATATAGGCACAGGAGAAGGACGCGAAGAGGCTGCGGCAGGAGGTGAAGCAACGAAGGGAGACGAAGCGAACAGACAGCGACCGAAGAGGCGCGCCGTTCGAATTCAGTGTCCACTACAGAAAACGTTTCAACTCCCACATGACCTTTCGTATACCCGTAGTGCGTGGCAAAAATATAGATATCGGCTCGGCTCATTCCCGCAACCCGCGTCGAGGCGTAGCGAGGCGGACGGCGGAGGAGGTGCGCGCGTGGATATCCCTTTTGTTCTCATGCTCGTACAAGTGGGGAAAAAACCTTCCTTATAAGGAGATCCAACTCCCACTAAACTAGCAATGTGAGTCTAAACTTTAGTACTATCCCTTGGCTTGTATAAATGGGCTAAGTGAGCCTCTAAAATTTATTAAGAATTTCTGAAATAGTTATTGGGCTGCGCAAAATAGACTAAATTCCAGCACCACCTACAGAAAGGACTCGAGTCCCTCGATCGAAATCTCAGATCAGATCGGATCGTGGCGGCCGGCGGCGCCACGACAGGTTGTCGGCCTGCAGTCCTCCTCACGGGACAAGCTGCGTTCACGGTGCGCTCTCGCTGCCCGCCGGCTTCGACGGTGTGGGCCGGGGCGCCGCCCTTCCGCAGATCCGCAATTGAGTCGTGCGTCCGGTCTGCCGCCTCCCCTCGACGTCCACGGCTCTGTGCTCTTCCGTGTTCTCTCCTAGCGCAGGCTGCGGGGGCACTACGCCGCTATCTTTCGGCTCCTCATACAAGAGCGATGGACAAACTGAGCCCTGTGGGAAACAATTGCATCAGCTCAGCGACGTCCAGCGTTTCTCCTCTCTACGTTTCTTTGCACGCCTCATCTCCAAGCACGAAGCCACGGCGAAATGTAAGTTTCATCATCATTGCTCTGTTTTCTTGGTCATGACTTGATTCCCTCTTTTGCTCTAGATATTCTGATTACTGCATGCCATTGCTCTAAATTTCTTGATTGTTGCATGCCGCTGGAGTTGCTGTGTATGAGTAGTGAACCATAATACATGTATGTTATGCCTCCCACATGTTTGACGTAATGCCCGACCGAATTGCGCACACAAAATTCGATGGGAACATAAAGCAGCATGGCTTCCAGCTGTCAATCTTCGAGTTTCTATAAATTTTAAGCCCAATTGTCCTCTATGTCCCTGTTTCTTACCTCCTCACGCACCGAGCTGATCAAGAAGCAGCACCGAAGTCCCCCTGATGTTCCATCTCCCCCATTTGTGTGCCTCCCATCTTTCCATGTTTGTCTCTCCATCTCTCTGACAAAATTAACAAGAACTAGTCATCTCTATCTTTCTTTCTCTACATAAGGTCTAGTACACTATTGAAGGATACATGTCTTGACGGAGAGATAAAACTCACATTATGTGTTGTAATTCAAATTATTAGTTATTTTTATTAGGTGGGTCATCAGCCTAAGGCAACAAGCCAAGAATCGTGAGGGGAGGGAATTTGACATCATAAATGACTATCTCTAGTAAGACCTTTTTCCTTATATGTTTTTTGTCAATTATATTTCAACCTGCACCTTTCAAATATTATTTCTCTGTGTCCTTACTCCTTGTACTAAGTCTACAAAAACAAAATACAGAAATAGCAAATCTAAGTATGCTCTAGATATTTAACATGTGAGACAATAGGTGAAAAACACCAGCAAAACATCATTCTGGAAAGAAGATATCAACATTGGGATTTGAATCTTTCACATTTTATCACAAAGAAAGACAGCTAAAAACTCACTTCCAATGGATGTGGCACAAACGAAAGGAACCAAGCAGGACTGAGTGCAAGTCTTGTATTCTTCATCTGCATATATTAATAATGTAGGGTCTATGTACAGTTTATTACACTCTGACTATATTGTATGGACAAAAAATAATCATGATTCAGATCTTTTTATATAATAAATAGCGTGTGAATTTTCTTGGGGTTGGCAGTTAGTATAGGTATATATCCGATAATGATTAGGGTGCAAGTGATGCAAATTCACATGAAGTTTATTATACAATGCAAGCAAACAATTGTATAGACTCACAAAATAATGGAACCTTTTGTTCTTCAGGCAAGCTGGAATGTTCTTGCATCACCAGTGAATGTGCTGCTACCCATAATATTGATTTTAATTTTAAAATAAATAAGTAGACATCAAAATAAACTCATAAAATAATAGCACGGCCAATGCCACAATTGAGTACGCTAGATGGTCTCTCCTAAAATAATTTTGTGATATTTAAATGAGCTAAATAATGAGTTTCACATATCTCTCTCTCAGTCTCTTGGTCAGTAATAGTTCTGTAATTTACAAGTCATGATAAACCCAGAACATGATAAATCAAAAATAACATTTATCTTACAAATGTGAACCATCTTTCATATTATAGTAGTCAAACTTACATCTTTTTTACTGCATGTTTCGTAGTAGGACATCTATTTACGAAATGGAAGGTAGCATACTTGTGGCTGCACAAATTATATTGTTTACATCGAGCTAGTTTTTTTGCTGCATATTTGGTATTAGGACATGTGTTTATGAAACGGAAGGTAGCATACTTGTGTCTGCACAAACAATTATATTGTTTACATCGAGCTAAAAGAATGACGGAAAAAATATTTACTTGCTAGACTAAAAGATCGATGGAAAAATATTTCTCGAGTTTATAACTCTTATCAATTTTACCTCGACAAAGAGGCAGATCATAAATTTTGCAACCAACATTTCATTTGCATGGTACTCGGCAATCTGCACCAATGTGAATCCTACATCCCATCAATTGAGTTATTCCACGACAATCTATCTGTGACCATAAAGTCCCGCATTGCTATCTGAACTGTGTGGCTTCTCTCTACCACAAGTGAAATCCACCTCGAATTGCCTATTTTTGGATCGCATTGATGCGCATTGGTTGTAGACACAATCCAGTCTTCTACTAACGAAATATCGAAACAATATAAGTAACTCTAATAATGCACGTAAATACAGAAAAGCAAAATATCTATCAGGCCTACAATGACGACATGCCTGCAAACTTAATTCTTGAATTTGCATTACTAAGTATAATATATAACTGAAGTTTAACCAAGAAACATTACATCATTGCATTTCTTTACAGAATTAGCCCACTGTTGTGATACAATGCTTATTGTAGTAATTTTTACATTCAACTATGTTATAGAACTGAAGGTGCCTACACTAAATTTCTGCAAGATTTCTAAAGAAAGCAAAAATAAGAAAATATTTGCCCTAAGATTTCTCCAAGAGATGCATACCAGGAGCAAAATTAATATATTGATGTAGATGACTTTAATCTTCATGTAAGGTGGATCAACTGCCATACAGGAGGGTCCAGGTACATGCTCATAAACTTGGCTGATGTTGCCGTGGCTAATCTAGCCTTATTTCTTGGAGAGAATTCCTTATTTGACACTATCTTAAAATCTGCTTCCTTATTTGACACTGGGAAAAAAAATTCTTCCCTATTTGACACAATTTCTAAATTTTCTTCCCTATATGACATTTCCGTTCATTTTGAGCCTAAATGACACCTGAAAAGACTCTTTTGCCCCTCATGTGGTATGTGTGTGGGGGGCAATAGCGCACACACACAGCACCAGTGCGAGGGCAGAAGCACACACGCAGCAACACATACACATGCACCAACACACACGCACGCGCACACACACGCAACAACACGTACGCGCACGTGCACACACACACACGCACACACATGCAGCAACACACATGCACGCGCACACACATGCAGCAACACACACGCACGCAGCACACACACACACATACACACACACGCAGGCAGCACATAGGCACGCAACAGCACACACACACGCGCACACGTACACACGTAGTAGCAAACACAGACGCAACGACACACATGCACACACACATGCAGCAGCAGCACACATGTGCGCGTGCACCCACACACACAACAGCACACACGCGCGCACACACATACTGCATGAGGGGCAAAATCATCTTTTCAGGTGTCATTTAGGCTCAAAATGGACGGAAGTGTCGCATAGGGAATAAAATTTAGGACTAGTGTCAAATCGGGAAGAAAAACTTTTCCAGTGTCAAATAAGGAACCATATTTTAAGACAGTGTCAAATAAAGAATTTTCTCTATGTCTTGCTGCCGGTTCTATGAACAAGAAACCAACAAAACTAAAGTTCATTTTAATATAAAGTTTTAGCTGCAGCCAGAAAGAATTGCCAAGCTCTTGTATGTTTAGTCGGTGGACTTAAAAGAAAAATCATGGATAAATGAAGATGCTAGATCTGGCCATATAGTGCAAGAAACAAATAGTGAGCGAGACAAAAGCTTACTGATGAGAAAATAATACATTGGTATTGAAGACAAATACCAGGGAAGCCTTAACAAATCGACTCTCACCCTTTCGGCGGCCGCCCAAGCAGGGACCATGAGAATTCCAAGAACCTCTCTTGAACCCACGGTGCCTCTGTCCAATACGCTAGAAAGCAGGTAGAGATGAAGGTCGTATGTGACATAGAAGATGGCGAGCTACATCTTGCATCTACAAACGAGGGCGACCTAGGCTCGTGTTCGACACTGCAGTTCTTGGTTGGTGTGTCAGATAGCAACCTGGGCAGCGGTGTGAGGCGGTAACGGCTGGACGCGATAGTAACCCTAGTTGTGGCCGCGCTCGCTCTTAACAAGAGAGGCAGAAGAAATCAGCTTGGGGCTAGCGAGTCGATGAGCCAGGGAAGAGAGCTCGCGGGTCCACTCATCAACGAGTATTTGTTTGAGAGAGGAGGCGAGGAAGCGACACACGAACATGTGAATCGACGTACCACAACCTACCATCACAACCGCACTCCCCTTTAATAGTAAAGACAGTAGGAATAACAATAGTTTCTTCCTTCAGAGGTTCGTGAGGTTCATGAGCTTGATGAGCTCCATCAGCTCATCAACAAGCGAAGGATTTCTATTGCTGTTTCTTTAAAGACCGTTGGCTAATATCCTTTATTTTCATACCGTGGGATGGTACTTCCAATCGGTACAATGATTGTTGGATTTGATGGAACTACGAGTGGCCTTTTGACAAATTTTAGTGTCATTAAGCAGTACTTAGGTCTATGCCTAACAATTCCGCTCTTTTTCTAGGGTCTGGTCTTGGTACTATGTTGATAGCAAGGGTGCAAGGCTCAAGGGAATCAGCCGGTTCTGTAGTTCTTTGTATGCTTATGGTATCTTGGATGAGGGGTATGTTTTTCTATACATCTATATGTTGCTTTGCTCAGAGTTCATATTATCTTGAAGTTGCATCCCTTATGTTTGTGCTTTACATTTCAGTTACAAATCCAACATATCAGTTGAGGAAGCTGCTGAGTTAGCATGGCGGGCTTTTATCACACACTATTCTGTGACAGAGCTAGTGGTGGCTGTGTTCCTGGTGGTATGCATTCTGTTTCTTAGTTTCTATCCTGATATTTGTTTTGTTCACTCAATAAGCACGATACAACATGCATGCAGGTTTGTTAAACACCTTGCCATTTATATCTTTCTTTCGAAATCACCTACATAACTGTTTATTTGAGTTACTTATTGGCGAAGTTCAGAGATTTTTTCCCCGTCGTGTAATGCACACCCCTAGGTTGGGAATAGAGATTACCATCGAGATGATGGTGATAAATTAACCCACATCAAACGTACATTGTTGTAGAGTATAGAAGGTGTTGTACAGTATAGACATGGGTCTAGACATCTAGACAAACCTACCTAGAGTTTCTAAAACGGTATAATTATAATGGTACATGTAAATTACATGCGTAGATTTATTCTTTTTGTATCGGCTTTCATGTTAGTAGATTCTAAAATATGGTGTGATGTATAAATAATTATGGTCAACGCTACATTTCTGAAATTGGCAAACATTTTTTGAATTAGCAAACATATTTTTTGAATTTGTGAACATTTATTTAATTCACAAACTCTTTTTTTCAAATTTGCCTTGGATGTTAGTAGATTCTAAGGATATGGTGTGATGTATAAAGAATTATGGTCAATGCTATGTTTAGTGTTTGGGTCATTATTATTTGGAAGCAGGGTAAGAAAAGAAGATTATCATTTGGGCTTGATAGAGTATGATTATATCCCAGTCGGTCGTGTTTGCATCAAACGCGTGTCCCACTTTGGAGAAGAATACACCAACCATTTTGGTAGCGGGCCTATAACTCATCTCAACAATTCTGTTTAGGTCTCATTCCGCTAATACGCTAGGCATCATCTCCTTTCCCGTATTTCTTTTAGTCTCACTCCCAAACACTTCACGATCCAACAGAGGGAATGCCAACATCCATGGTGGCATTGTCCCATTCGACCATTCATGCCACTTGAGAGGATGAAGGCTCTAGCAAACATCATGTGAGAGGCATCGACGCTAGTGATTTGGCCACCATCCTGGCCACGACGACAATGCCACAGAGCATATAGTGGAGGGTAGAGTAGGAAAGTGGAGCGACGGCGCCGCGGGAAGAGGTGAACTCGAACGGGGGCATTGCAGTCTGTTTCTTCTTCCGGGCGAGTGTTAGGTAGATAGACAAGACTCCCACCAAAATGTCGATAAAGCATCAGATTAGACAATGGATCAACATCAGTAGCACATATAGTGGAGGGTAGAGTAGGAAAGTGGAGCGACGGCGCCGCGGGAAGAGGTGCACTCGAACGGGGGGACTGTAGTTTGTTTCTTCTTCCGGGTGAGTGTCAGGCGGATAGACAAGACTCCCAACAAAATGTTGATAAAGCGCCGGATTAGACAATGGATCAACATCAGAAGTAGGGAGGTGAACATTGAGTTCCATGGGAGTCTCAATAGTGCGCTCATCAGCACGAGTAAGATCCTGGATTATTATTTTTGAGCAAGAAGGGACCTCAATCCGAAGGGGAGCCTTTGCGCAGTGGTAAAGCTGCTGCCTTGTGACCATGAGGTCACGGGTTCAAGTCCTGGAAACAGCCTCTTGCAGAAATGTAGGGAAAGGCTGCGTACAATAGACCCAAAGTGGTCGGACCCTTCCCCAGACCCTGCGCAAGCGGGAGCTACATGCACTGGGGCTGCCCTAAGAAGGGACCTCAATCCCAAGAGAGTAGCAGAGAAAGCCAAGATAAGACATAAGAAACTGCATAACATGCCTTCACAAAGGCAATATGCTCACGGTTTGCGTCGGTGATGATCATGTCATAAACATGAAAAAGAGTCCTACCAGGAGCAGAAAGGAGGGCAAACAACGTCGGATCTTGAGCACTCGCTGAAAACCAGCAACATCCACCATAGAGGCAAAACGCTCAAACCAGGCGCGAGAGGCTTGCTTAAAGCCCAGCATACGGTTTTGCAGGAGCAAAAGTCTCATCGTAATCAGGACCATGCTCGTGCTGAAAGCCATGACCCACAAGACAAGTTTTTCTAATGCTAAGAGAACCATCAGAGTGAGTCCTAACCTTGTAGTCCCACCAAGTGATGGGACGATCACGAGGAGGAACAGAAACAATATCCCACGTGTCGATGCACTCAAGAGCAGCAACCTCCTGTGTCATCACAAGGTGCCATTTGGTATGAACAATATCACAACAAGAAGTCGGCTCAAGAACAGCAGCGCCAACGCTTGGAAGACCAAGGCGGTCAACAAGCCGAAGCGGACGAGGACGCAAGCCATAAGTAGGTTGAGACTTAAGTTGGCACATCAGTAGACGCATCGACAACATGCAGACGACCTATATAGAAGTTAGGAAAAAACGGAAGGATACGAGCTGGAATCATCGGGGATAAACTGAGGTGATGGAGACAAGGAAGCCACCGGTGATGAAGGTGTAGAATCATGTGATAAGCGAGGTGAGGAAATCATAGGAGATGATGACGTTGGTTCTACAATAATCAGAGAAGCATAAGCAGTACAACTACTGGATCAGGGCTCAATAGGAGTGGTAGGAGTGTCAGGAAAATTGTGGGAAGAGATATACTCCACTTAAAAGGCTAAATAAGATGGATGCGGGTCATATCCTAAGAAATAGGCATCCGACGACCAACATGATCCCAACAATGATATTCCTTATGCTCATCGTTGTATCCTAATAAGACACACTCAACAGACTGAGAAGTCAGTTTGGTGCGTTCACGAGGGGCAAGAAGGAGATAGCAAACACAACCAAAAAATTGAAGCGCCGAATAACCGATCAAATAGACGATCGAAAGGAGCGTCATCCTGCAGAGCAGTGGGTTGCCGAAGGTTGTTGAGATAGATGGAAGTGGAGACAGACTCGGCCCAAAAGTGCGCTGAAAGAGAGGTGGTGACCATCAATGGAGGAGCCGTCTCAAGATGGTGACAATGCTTGCGCTCAGCCACGTCATTTTGAGCATGAGTACCAAAATAAGAGAACCAAAGTCTGCGCAGCAAGGATTCCACACAACATCTTGGAGATACTCTCCACTAGAGTTACCATAGAACACATGAATAGGCGTAGAGAATTGAATGTGAACCATGGAAGCAAAAGGCTTATAGATAAGACCTCACTACGAGAAGAAATAAAGTATGTCCATGTGTGTTGAGAGAAGTCAATAGCGGAGGCAAAGGGAGATGATCCCTCGAGATCAGAGTAACAAAGTCTAAAGGATGATGAGACATTGTCTCGCCATGAGTATAAGGTAACTGGACCATGTAATAGAGACATCATCGGAGACGGATCCAAGAAGATCGTGTTGAACTAAGGATGAGAGATCACAAGTGACCTAAGGTGATGATGCCACTCTTGAAAATATATGGTAAACAGGGCAATAGAGGCAGAGACTGGCAGCATTGGCAGTAGAGGGACTTGATCCGGCGTCCCACTTGCCTGTGCACTCTTCGTACCCCGCCGATCTGGCTAGGTGTTCCTTTCCTATTTGCGGGTTGTGTGCCACGTGCTTGATTAAGCACCCTGGGTTCTCCTACTGTGCGCCCTTGGCCTTGACTTTTGGTAGCGCCTGTTCTCGGCTCGTCTCGTGCATAATCCAGGTACGCGTCGACCGTCTGAGCTCCTGCTCACCATTGGTGGTGCTTGAGCGTGCGGTTATGGTGTCACACATAAAGGGAACACAGGATGTGGGATTGAGACAGTGCTTGTAGCAACCCGCAGAAAGGCAAAGGATGCCCATCAAGACTGGTAGGGAGCGAAGGTGGTCACAAAGGTGGACGTTGCTAGTGACGATCCTGGTGCCAGTGATGATCGACATGTAGAAGTGTTCGACCACGAGCCTTCAACAAGGCAATGTACTTAGAATCGTTGCCAGTGATGATCGACATGTAGAAGAAGTGTTCGACCACGAGTTGAATGGTGGACCGAAAGTGTAGGATAATGAGCACTCGCCAAAAACTGGCCGCAATCACCACCGAGACGAAGCGCTCAAAGCAGGCATGAGGGGTTTGATTAGAGCCATATAAACAGCGACGAAGACGACAAACCATGCCATTAGGAAGAGAACCGAGGTGGTGGCTAGTTGTAGGCATTCTTGACATCAAACTGAGAGACAGACTAGCGGCGAATAGAAGCCACATTGAGAAATGTGCGAAAAGTGGTCATGTGGTCCATATATATAGGAGTAAATGTCTCTTCGTAGTCATGACCATGTTCTCACCACTAAACAAGCTTTGTTATGCTCAAGAGTATCATCAGTCTTAGCCTTGTAGACCTACTTACAAGTGATGAGACGAGAACGAGGAGGAAGGGAAATGAGATTCCACGTGCCGATGCGGGCAGGAGCATCAATCTTCGATGCCATCACATGCAGCCATTTGGGATGAACAGCCTCACGGCAAGAAGTTGTCTCGGGAAGAGCTGAGCAGTAACCATAGAGGTCAATAGGCAGAAGCGGGCGAGCTCGAAAAGCATAAGTAGGCTAAGCTGTAGGCTGTGCATTTCCAAGGAAAGAAGATATAATAGTCGAGGGAGATGGCTTATCAGAAGAATCCACAACATGCGGACCATGAGTGTAGTAAAGTCGAGGAACATGAGCAAAAGAAGGAACATATAAAAAGTCAAAGTGAGTCTTAACATTCCCACCAAGTGATGGGACGAACACGAGGAGGAAGAGAAACAATATCGCATGTGCCGATGCGCTCAAGATCAACAATCTTCTCTGCCATCGCAAGATGCCATTTGGTATGAATAACATCACTATAAGAAGTTGGCTCAAGAACACCAGCGCCAATGCTTGGAAGACCAAGGCGGTTAACAGGCGGAAGCGGATGAGGAAGCAAGCCATAAGTAGGCCGAGAGGGGAAGTGGCCCATCAGTAGACACATTCACAACACGCGGACGATGTATATAGAAGTGAGGAAAAGATGGAAGAATACGAGTAGAAATCATCGGGATAAATTGAGGTGATGGAGACAAGGAAGCCAAAACTGATAAGCGAGGTGAGGAAATCATAGGAGATGATGACATTGGATCTGCAATTATGAGAGAAGCAGGAGTAGTACAATGAATGGATAAGGGAGTGACATGAGTATTGG